AACTGTATTGTCAGTAAATATATCATCCATTCACTAAACTGTACTGTCGGTAAATATATCATCCATTCACTAAACTGTGCTGTCAGTAAACATATCATCCATTCACTAAACTGTACTGTCGGTAAATATATCATCCATTCACTAAACTGTACTGTCGGTAAATATATCATCCATTCACTAAACTGTACTGTCGGTAAATATATCATCCATTCACTAAACTATACTGTCGGTAAATATATCATCCATTCACTAAACTGTAATATAAAACTTGATGACTTATAATGCTAATATTCGGGGTTCGATTCCTACGGCGTACAAAACACAGATATCTCATGTCTAGATATTTAACACTCTAACATCCAGCAATTGATTTTCTTTATTTGTTTGTTTTCGGGTATTTGTGTAAATGGGCTATCTGCCCTAGTTGTCCTCCATTTTGTAATGATGGACTAGAGAGGGAAGGCAGCCAATCAACAGTACTCACCGTTACCACAACCAACTCTTGGACTACTGTAATTGAATAGTGAGATTTTATCGTCGGTCTTCTAACGTATCCACGTCCTCATGGATTTTTCGATTCATAGTTTCGTACACTAACCACTAGGCCACACTCGGACGTCCAGTAATCTTGCTATAACATGAATCCCCGCCCATCATATCACTAATGTGAACAAAATATTTAAGACCAAATTATTTTGTGTAATTAAAAATTTTCCATATATGGCAGTAAAACTAACTTTTAATGTTGTTGTTTTTTAACTGCCCTACTATTTGGTGAAACAGAATAATAATGAGGGTGTTTACAGGAGCCTTTGAAAGTTGTGATTTAATGGAACATACCAAAAGGGAAACTAAAAGCCTTTATTTCTTAGTGAACACTGATATTATTAAGACTTCCCTCCAAAGGGTAGCCAGCCACTCGACTTCGCTAAAGCAAGTTGCTCTTTACAATTCCATTATCGTATGTCAAACTTCGAAAAAAAAGAGAGTAAAGGAACATCAGCAATCAGAAGTAAAAGAAAAAGAAAACATATGTGATCAATGTAATCCATAAAAATTGGTTGTTCTTTTTACAGTTTATTTCTGCAATCAAAAATCGGATTGTTTGTTTGTATTTAAGCACAAAGCTATACAACGGGCTATCTGTGCTCTGCCCACCAAAGGTATCGAAACCCGGATTCTAGCGTTGTAAGTCCGCAGACATTCCGCTGTGCCACTGGGGGGGGGGGGCAAAATTGGGTAAATGTAATACAGAATTTTAGCGATGAAATCATACAATCGGCCAAATACTTTAATTTTAATAAAGTACAAATAACAAGTAGAAATATATTTAATTCAAATTATGTTCTCTGATTTTTAGACCATTTTTATTTTAAATTATGCCCCCTTCCTCCAGTGGCTCAGCGGTAAGTCTGAAGACTTATAACGCTAAAAACAGGGTTTCGATACCCGTGGTGGGCACAGCACGGATAGCCCATTGTGTAGCTTTGTGCTTTAAAACACAAGCAAAGAAATACCTCTGAATCACCAGACTTGTGAGTTGTGACTCACCACTGAAGATCTCAGACAGACGTTTTATGATTAATCTGATTTGAAAATAATCTGAGAACGATGAATTTAATGTTATTATTATTATTATTATTAATTACATGTCTGGAAAATTATTACAGTGTATCATTTAGCAACAAAAGGTGTATCGGCAATTAAAAAGTCTGTTTTTCTTTTTTCCCTTAGGAGAAAAACCTTACAAGTGTAACTGGGAAGGCTGTGAATGGCGGTTTGCTCGATCAGACGAGCTAACTCGTCATTATCGAAAACACACAGGCTCCAAACCTTTCAAGTGCAGTCATTGTGAGAAGTGCTTCTCTCGTTCAGACCACTTAGCACTTCACCTGAAGAAACATCAGTAGTAGAGGTGTTCTACATATAGGCTTAAGTGACGCACCATCGTCTCTAGATTGTGTGATTCCAAATAAACCCGAAAACCTTTTTTCTGCTATAACACGAGCTGGAAAAAAAAAACAACTCACAAAAAATTAGGTCAAATTACAGACCCCTCGGGGAGTGAAATCTTTAGGAAATGTGCATCATCACAGAAACTCTGATATATTTTTTTCCTTTTTCAATAATTAATATATTATCATTAATTTATATGGTGTCTAATGCAGGTTCCAAATGTGAAAAAGGGAACGTTAAAGAGAAGTAAAAAATAAATCAGTTATTATATATACTGTGTGCAAATATTTACAGTCGTATTAACCCCACTCATATTGTCGACAAACAAAAAAATGAATAAAAAATAAACCAAATCGCAAAATAAACATTGTTTAAATAAGAATTAAGTTTTGAAACTGATCTTTCACTAATGAAACTAATAAAAATCTGGTAAGAAATGGAGTAAATTACCCAAGTTTCTAAACCTTTCAAAACCCTACCAAGTATTATAGAACTCTTTGTTATAAAACTTACGTTTAACGTTTGAAAAAATGAATAAAAAATAAACCAAATCGCAAAATAAACATT